CCAAAAAATGAAGGGGTGAGAAAGAGGTAGTACTGGGAGAAAGAGTGGGGGTGGGAGGGAGGGGCGCACAGAAGAGCTTTTACAGTGGAGGGGAGAATGGGGGTAAGGTTCGCCCTCGTCAAGTTGGTTCAAAGAGGGAAGAATATATACACAGACACACTCAGTTGTGTATAGAAATGTAACTTACCCAGTAGGGAAATAGGAGGGGAAAGGGGTAAGAGAAAGGGGAACAATGGTGGCAACGATAAAAGGAGGGCAGATTAAGGGAGGCAGTGGTTAGAAGCAAAATAGACTTTTGAGGGAGGGACAGGATAAAAATAGGGAAGAAGAAATAGAAGAAAATCGAATGTAGGGAAATATACTGTTAGTATTCATAACTGTGAATGTGAATGAGTTGAACTCACCCATAAAACAGAAGCAGACAGTAGAATGGATTAGAAACCAGAATCCAACAGTATGTTGTTTACAAGAGACACACTTGAAACAAAAAGACACACGCAGAGTTAAAATAAAGGGCTGGAGCAGAATCTGTTGTGCTTCAGCTGAAATAAAAAAAAAAGGCAGAGCTAGCCATCATAATCTCAGACAAAGCAAAAGCATTAACAGACCTAATTAAGAGGGATAATCAGATACCATAGACAATGACATAATATCAAAACATTTTATAATCTCTGATAAGAGGTCTCATTTCTCAAATGTATACTGAGTATAGAACTGAGGCAAATTTATAAAAATAAGAGCCATTCCCCAATTGATAAGTGGTCAAAGGATATAAACAGGCAATTTTCAAAAGAAATCAAAGCTATCTGTAGTCATATGAGAAAATTCTCTAAATATTAATTAGAGAAAGCAAATTAAAACAACTCTAAGGTATCACCTTACAACTATCAGAAATGACAAGTGCTGGAGGGGATGAGGGAAAAATAGGTATACTAATGAACTACTGCTTGAGTAGTGAAACGGTCCTACCAGTGTGGAGAACAATTTGGAACAATGCCCAAAGGGCTATAAAACTATGCATATCCTTTGATGCAGCAATACCACTACTAGGTCTGTATCCCAAAGCGATAGAAGAAAAAGGACCTATACGTACAAAAATTTTTATAGCAGCCCTTTTTGTGATGGCAAAGAATTGGAAATTGAGGGGAAAGTTATCAGTTGGGGAATGGCTGAACAAGTTGTGGCATATGATTGTGATGGAGTACTCTTGTGCTGTGGGAAATGATAAGGGAGGTGGTTTCAGAAAAAAATATGACGAGACTTACATGAACTGATACAAAGTGAAGTAAGAAGAACCAGGAAATCATGTTGCACAGTAAAAGCAATGTTATAATGATGTTCAACTGTGAAACACTTGGCTACTCTGATTAATACAATGATCCAAGACAATTCCAAAGGACTCATGATGCAAAATGCTATCCACCTCCAGAGAGAGAACTGATGAACTCTTGAGTATAAATTGGAGTATAATTTTCTTTATGTGTTTTGCTTTTTTTTAAAAAAAAATATGGCTAATAGGGAAATGTTTTGCATGATTTCATATGTATAATTGAGATCATATGGCTTGCCTTCTCAGTGGATAAGGCAGGGGGTGGGAGGGTAGAAGAGAATTTGGAACTCAATATTTAAAAAGAAAAGCATACTCAAATAGTAAGTTGAAAACTATTTTAAAAGAAGCATTACCATTTAAAAAAAAAATTAAGTGCCTATTTTGTGCCCCTCTGAACGTCAGTATTTCCCATGTACATTTTTCATTTAGTTAGGTAGATATTTCTGTAGAAAAACATAAGAATTCTCATGTTTCTACTTATAAATTAACTTCATTTTGTGAATTTAATAAGGTGCTTCTCTTTTTTTCTGATTTTTATCTCTACACAGATGAATGTAGTCAACAGTTAAGGCATTTGGTTAATACCTTTGCCCATATCTCATTAGCTTTTGTTAAAAATTGAACATTTTCACTTCCAAGCTCATTTTCAAATTATTATTCATAACTCATATTTTGTACAAATAAATACAGTTTTTGAATCCATTTTTAAATAATACTCATCTTAGGTATCTTAAAGAAACTGTATTTGGCCTTGCAGCCTATTTAGCTAAACTGACTTAGTTGCTTTTTAAGAAATACCTGAACAATACTATTGAAATCTATCCAAGAAATCTGGTTTATATGGTGGGGAGAGAATGTAAAGGTTTAACGCTATTTTAAATGATGTGATTTAGTGTTGCTATTATTTCTATAATATAGTCTTGATCTTAACTAATTTCATTTCCATTTCTTTTCCCTGTTATATTTTGCTATTGATTAAATTCATTATGTTTGGAGAATTTGCTGTTGTAACCTAGTGATTCACATTTGGGGGTGGGAAGGTATATGACATTTTTGAAATATCGATAGAAAGCTCTGGCCATTGCCTGACATAGCTATAGTGGTCAGTGTAGGGATAAGTGGAAAGAACCCTGGACTTGACAGTGCTATCTCAATGTGAGTAGATACTCTGATCATTACTGGTCATGTAGTGGTCTGCAGGTCCCCCATCTTCGTGAGAATTTATTTAGACACTCTGAGGAGGCATCTATGTGGTTCCCAGAAGGTGTGGTTATACCCTTTTAAAGGTAATGCAATGAACCCCTTAACAGGGAACATGGCAGAAGCAGCTAGTGGAGCTCTAACATGCTAGAGGTTACAGAGAAAAGATTATAATTTTATGTTGGAAAACAAACAAAATGGATTTATGTTGAGACATTTTTAAAATCCCTACGTTAAAGAAGGGTGAGTAACACTACAGGCCTAGGGTGCTGGAAACCATGGCGGGTTGGAGGACAGAAGCTTTGGGCTTGTGCTAAACAAGTTGATGGAAGATTTACTAGCACCCTGAGGTTATTTTATGAAGAAAAAGTCTATATGGTGAATGGGACTTGAACATGGAGAAGTCAGATAGCCAAGCTGTTCCATTATCAAACTTATCTGTAGACTTTAGCTCCATCAATCCATGAATCTCTTACAATTGTTGTATTGAACCTGCTTGTCATTCTTCTTAGGTGTTTACAGTGATTATTAAAATATATTAAAAGAGGGAACAGGCCCTCTAACATGCTTTGCCTTCTTTTCAAAAACACTTAATCTGTCGACAGGGTAGGGTGTAAATAGAAAGTTCCTACAGGATATAAGAAAATTTGAGAAGTGAGTCAACAATACCTAGGCTTAAGCACAATTAGTTGCAATAATTAATGATAAAAATGAACCTTTCTGGAGAGGCAGCATGGGAAGATGAAGAGAGGGCTGGGTCATTTCCCATCACGTACCCTCTCTGGGCCCCAAGTTCCTCCCATGCCAAAGGGCATTGAATGAGGTGACCTCTAAGGTCTCCTCCATTTCTAACTTTGATCCTGTTGCCTGTGGCTCTGTTTTAAGAGCCAGTGCATGAAGGTGTGTTTTCTAAAGCACAGAAGTAGAGTTAGCAGTTTGTAGTACGGTCCGGGTGGCCACCTGATAGGTTCAAATCAATTGAAATTCCATTTGGGCTTTTAAAAAGGATTCTCCTACATGTTCAGTGTGAACTTAATTTGAGTATATGTGTAAAAACTGCCAGAGTGCGATGCTGTGTCCAAGCTCTGTGCCCCTATTGTGTGTGATGGTGCCAAAGTCCTGTGAATCACCAGTTGGACGAAGAGCTAGAGACCTGGTGCAGTTGATCAGCCTGCAGGCATCCAGCTTCTGTTTGGTCTCTTTTGTTTTTTCTCGTTCTGCATCTTTGTGTTGTTTGTTCGCAGCCATCATTTTGTCTTATCATCTTCAATTCTAGAGCAAGATGACAACAGTAATGACTCTGCTGACCCGGGCATCCTGGTCATACCCGAGCTTAGTGTCACAAAGGTGGCCGGAGAGAGAGCCGGGAATGGGGAAAAAAGCAAAACCCTGGGAGAGAATGATGCCCAGCATGTACAGGGCGCGCAGGAAACAGCCCCAGACCCTAGAGCCGAAAGCAAAGGCTTGCCAGAGCTCAGGAGGCAAAAGTCTGTGAGGAGAATGATGGAGGACGGACTGAGCCCGCCCAGCAGAGGGCCGCTTTAGCAGAACTCTTTCTAGCTGCCCTCCAAGGTACCCGCCCGGTGGCGAGGGCACTGCTGCATGCTGGAGAGGATTGGCACAGTCACAGACATGTTGCATGTCATCCACTAAAAATGGAAATGCATGGATTAGACTCAGCACCTTTCCCCTGAATCTTCACAGGCCTTGGAATGGTCAGATCTGTTTTAGGAGCATAAATTGTTAGGAAAAACATGGGCAGAAAATGACCAGGAAGTGATCATTTTCTGCTTTCTTTTTTCAAGAATATTACTGATCACCATTGATATGAAGGCTGTCTTTTCCAAATTATAACAGATATAATTTCAAAGTACTTGTTGAGGTATTTCCAGGGTCTACCTTCACTAATGGAGGGAAATGTAAAAACAAAAACATGACTCTGATTTTCATAGTCCAGACTGTATTTGAAATACCAAACTAGTGACGTAACCAAGCCTAAATGAGAAGGAGACTTTTCTATTTTTTCAGTCTTTAACTGATGTATTTGCTAAAAGTATAAGAATGGAGATTGGGTATTTTGAAGCTTTGATAATCGTACTCTGTGCGTTAGTGGGGGTTTTGCCCCTAGTTTTCCTCATGATATTTTTCTAATCTTTTCTAATCTTTTGCATGAATTATAGGAGATATCTTTCTCAAAATACCATGGAGTGTGATAATAGCATGCCTTTTTTGCTTCTGTGTTAAACACATCTTTAATTGCTATCATTTAAATCACATAGGAATATTCCCACAAAGTAGTAGAATAGTGTTTGTTTTGATTCGTTCTTTGAAATTTGTTCTCTTGTAGTCTGTTGCTTTAGGAATTTTTACTAAAAACACCCAAATCTAAAATGATTTTTAAAAATCAATCATCCTATGTGAATTCCTAAATGTTAATGGGTTTTTTTTTTATTGTTGTCTCTTTGTTTAGGGAATACAGATTTAACAGGCCAAGAGGAACTAATGGAGATATCTGAGGTTGATGAAGGATTTTATTCCAGAGCTGCATCTAGCACCAGCCAGGCTGCCTTATCAAACACCACCACCACCAGCAAGACCAGTTTAGGAAAGAATCCACGAAAGTCCGGAGGGAGCAGAGCTGGAGGAAAAGAAAAAGAAACCTCCGGGGAATCAGGCAGAGAGCACTCAGGTCGAAAACAAAACCCCAGAGCCCTGAGTGAGAACCTCGAGCTGCTCTCCCTGAAGAGGCTCACTCTGACCACCAGCCAGTCTCTGCCCAAGCCCGGCAGCCACAGCCTGGCCAGGACCGCCACCACCATCTTCAGCAAGTCTTTTGAACAAGTCGGTGGCAGCACTGGCACCCACAATCCTGGCGTTGCAGGCGGCGGAGGGACAGGGACAGATGCCAATAGGTTTTCTGCTTGCAGTCTGCAAGAGGAAAAGCTGATTTACATCTCTGAAAGAGCCGAGCCACAGATTCCAGTTAAACATCCACCCAATCAGCAGAGACCTCCTAGCATCAGCATCACCCTGTCCACCGATTAGCGTCTGAGACATGTCCCCCCATGAGCAGTGAATTGGGAGGTTTCCTTTCCTTTTATGTCCTTCATCCCTGTTTTTGACAAGAACTCACAGATGTCTTAAATTCTGGAAGTCAGCTGGAATGGCAAGCAATGTCTCTAGTGCAATGAGTTAAAATGTAGTTTGGCTTTCCTTAGCTGTGTTCCCTTCTCCCTGGCTCCCTCAGCTTGAGGATAGGCTTGTCGGCCCCCAAGGAAGTCGGGGTGCAGTTCTGGCTGGTTGTCTGATCACTTTGGCCACACCGTGGGTGAGGCTAATTCTTTTTGTTACTTGTATTACAACCTTCAATGTAGAGGGATGTTATTGATTGTTGATAAAAAGGTGAGGCAGTAGTGAAACTCCAGGAATTCTACCACCATTTTAGTGAGTTGGTTCTGCAAAACCATCAGTCACATGAGAAACCATGCATATGCGAGGGACAGCATTGAGGGAAATCTCAGTCGGGACCAGAGTTTGATCAGAAGCCTGGGGGCTGGGTATATTGTGTGATATCAGGGGCCACCCTCGAAGGGGAATGAAGGTCTTAGCGATAGCGAGCACCCAGCATAGAGCTGGATCCCACCTGTCTGATTGCCAATCCCTTCCTTGTATTTTCTGCTGCAGGTTGAGCAGGTAAAGCTTCTTTTCACCATTTCTTCCAAGTTGTAATAGGCCTTGGAGCTAAGGCATGATACGTGTCTCCACCTCTTCTACTTTGGAAATTCCAGTTAGTTTGATCCACTCCTTAGGAGAATGCCCTTCTGGAGATAGCTGGAAAGTCACTGTAAATCTCATAGCATTCCAGCAAAAAGAAAAGAAAAGAAAAGATATTAAATGTCAAGATAACTGTCCATTTTTACTCTTTTACAGCATTTCAGTTTCTATGCAGATAAAGGAGTTTAGATGTTAAAAGTTTTACAACTGCACAGTATCATGAAAGAAAATAAAGAATAGCAAACTCTAAAAGAACAGAAGACATTCACATGGTCATTGTCATTTAGCATTGTCATTTTTCCGGCTTTGGATCCATAAATTTAAAATCCCCACATAGGAACAAGTGGTTGCCTGGTGTTTGCTCCTGCCTCCTATAAGGACTGTTTATTTTTTAGATGGTCCTTATATTTGTTTGAACAAAATTACCAAAATAACCAGTTCCCCCCCAAAGCTTTTTACCTGCTACTCTCTAAAGCCTCTTCTAACTAATAGTAAAAGGTCATTTACATATTTCTTGCTCCCACTTTTCCCCCCTTAGATCCAAAGAAAAATAGACAATGACTTAGGATGTTTTTCTTTTTACAATCTTTCCTTAGGCATGGGTCAGAAGTATGAGAAGACCATGTGGGGGTGTCCATTAAAGTGTTGATTTACTTAAACTTGGTCAAAAGTGAATCTGTAAAAACCAAAGCACAAACCTATGACTCTTAGCTCTGAATACCGCCAAGTTGGGAATATTATCGAGATTTGTTTTCTGTAGGTTCAGGTGTTAAACTTGGAATGAGTTCTTTTGGTCTGTGGAGCAGCTAATGAGCAGAGAGGGGGTATAGGCCAGGAAAGCTCCTGGTGGTGAAGGAGGGATTTTTATCCCTCGGCAAGGAGGTCTGGATGCCATTATAAATGCGTGGCCTAGATCACTGGGGATTCCTTCTCTATTCCTATTCTGTAAGGAAAACAAAGAGTTTCAGGATTTTTTCCATCGTTGCCATGGCATTAATATTCTTAATGAATTCATGTCTTTAGTCTTAATCTCAATCAGGTTATTCCTTTTGGTGGAGTCTTACAAGGGAAGGTTATGTAGATTACAGAAGCTTTGGTAGTCAGTACCCCAGCCTACAAACTCTCAGAAAGCATTGAGTATTGAGGTGGTGCAAGTTGGGGGCCTGACATCTGTATTTTCACCCTGTCATGAAGCCTTATTTTGGTGTTAGGAATAACAGTGCACATCAGTTGCTGGGCTAATGACTAGTATTCTTTTGCCTTAGAATTCTCAGTATTTTTATTCTATTATTCTCATGGTATATCATAGAAAAATTATTTGTTAGTAAAACAGGAAAATGTTAGTGTAATTTTCTATACATTACATTTGTTTGACATTAACCTGTATCATGTAATGATACAACTGTAGCAATAAAGTAATGGATGAAAGTGCCCCAGATCTCACTGTTGGCAGGTTGACATAAAACATGACAGCTGGGCTATGGTGATCCTGACATGGGGTAATAGTTTCAGGACTGTGCCTCCTATCTTGTGCCCAGAGGAATGCTTTCTAACAACTAGGAGAGGTGCTGGCTGAGATCCTGATCTTGCGCCCTGCCACCCAGAAGGACTTAAGGACAGTTCTGGCCCCAGTCCATACAGAATATCCCTTCCCACCCTGGCACCCACCTTCCACCTCAGCATGGAGGATCCCTGAGGGTGTGAAGGTAAAGCAGTTCTCTCTCTGAGAGAATCAAGAGAACATCATGCAGTTTCTCTGAGGTGCTAGGAAGAATGGGCTCTACCTGCCACCACAGAGAACCCAGGGGTCCTGGTGGGCCAGGGCAGGCGGAAATAAGAGGAGTTTAAGCCAAGGTAGGAGACGGCTGATTCCTAGAGACTCCTCCTCTTGGAATCCTGGTTGAAGGATTTTGGAGAAGCAGTGTTTTCTTTATCGTTTTTAATTATGAAACATTCATCAGACATTACTCATTTCTTAAACATTAACTTGAAACGTTTTAAGTGAAAGGAAACATATTTGAACCAAAACAGTTAATCTCTATCCCAGTTTTAAGGGATTACATATTTGGAAAAACAAAATGAAAGCATTAGCACTGTTCGGTTTTATTAGTATCTGGAGCAGAAGACATTTTGCAGCTGTAAAGACTTAAAGTGACTGAGTATTGAGAAAGTGATGCAGTCTGATATTTTAATTTAGCAGCCAGCCTAAAGCTCCACATTGTGGAAGGGCAAGACTTTCAGAGAGATGTTCCCATTGAGAGTCTGCAAAGTTTGTATCTTCTCAGCTGCTCGGTGAAACGTTTTTCATGGCTTAGAAAGCTCAGCGTCCACGTAGAGAGGTATTTTTGTTCTGCAGTCATTTGATTGTGAAGAGAAAGTCATTTGTTGGCTTTCATGTACTCTTGCTAAAGATAGTAGTTCATAAAGAATGTGTGATGGAACCTTCCCAGACATGGGAAGAAAAAGGAGGGCAACTTCTGATTGGGACGGATTTGTTTTCCAGGCTTCCTTAGTAATATTATGTTCAATACCGTCCATTATTCATATCAGTGTTAAAAGTACATTGGGATTCCCCATTAGAGATATAAAGTATATTTTGTCTTTTTGTACTGTGTAACTCTTTTGTATTTTATAACTCCATATCTACAAATACTGTATGCACCATTGGACAGAGTGGAAAATGTGTTGTCACTTTTTTAATAGCAGAGGACCAGTCCACATACGTCGATGTGAAGTTGTTATTTTATCAGTCAGATCCGAGATCCTATTTCCTAAAAGTGCTTTCTCATGTATAGTTTCTGTTTTGTACCACTTCCCTTATTACCTTTTCTTCTGATCATGTAGTGATACTAACCTTTTCATAGTAAATGTTTCGTTTTTAATTATGTACCTAGAGTTTACATTCCTGAAAAATAAACCACAAGTTTGAATACTTTTTACGTGCTACTTACCTTTTTATGGCAGTGAAAATAAACTGGAGTTTAGTTTTCTGAAGTTTTGTATACTGTGTAAGTGTTTTCCATATAGAATGTTGCTGCTAATAAATAGGTTTTAATGAAATAAAAGTTGAAGTAAAATCTTGCTTTCAGATCATTATGAAAATCCCTATCACTGAAATTAGCTGAAGTTAAGGAAAGTAGAAACAAAGTGTGGAAGGGGATGTGGATGAGTTGAGTTCAGCATGGAGAACTAGTTCCCAGGGCTAAGCCATTCACTGGGTGGTCTTAGGGATGAGACAGGTGGCAGAACCAGTGTTCCACCCTAGTAGAGGCGTACTGCAAGGAATCCCTCTTACTGTGTCGATCAGGGCTTTGATTCAGAAAAAGGAAGTGAAATGAGTGGCCGCTGGAACATTTGCCAGTACGTGACAATGTTAAAAGCTTGACAAGTTATTTTAGAAAAACATGTATAGAATTAAGTAACGGTGCTTTCTGTCTTTACTTAATTCCTGTGCATCTTTTTTCCTTAAGAGGATTGTAAATTCTTAGAAGTTATGACTTTACATCCCCATTGCATTTGGCACAGTACTTTAAACATTGTATAGGGCTCAATGCATTCTTTTTGGGTGGTTGCAGGCAGAGGTGTGATCCAATATTTTGTAGTTTATATACAATAGAAATTCTTATAAAATGACATACTTGGACCTGGGTCTTGTGTGCTACTAACAGTAGTATTCTTATGTAGAAATGAATGTGTATATCTGGAGACAACAGGGAGCTTCTAAGTAGGCACAACAGTACTTCTTAAATAATATAGTAAAACAGTTCTTTTATAAATTACATTTTATCCAAAGAGCTAGAAGTGTTTTCATAATTATAATGTGTTTATCCTGGAAACAGCTCCCAGGAATAATTTAGTAAGGGTCATACTGGTCAGCTGAAATAGTTCTTGTAATGGCTTTAACTAACATGTTAGTTAAGAGGAATTCACCTGCGAGGATCTAACTAATCCATCTCTCCTCAAAATCCATAAATTTAGGCAGAACAGTTGTAACCTTTACATATCACTATATGCAAACCACATGTCATTTTTCCAGGCAAAAACAATGGAAGAGGTAGGGACTGAAGCTGTGTCTTTTCCTCCCCTTTCTGACTAACTCAACTTGATTTTACTTCAGAACAAAAACTATTTATCTTCCATTAAATAGTTCTACTTTAGGAATGTGGTAGGAACTATAAAAACAGAAAATATGTGTTTAAACTGCATTATAGATCTTAACTCTCTTACCTAATCATGGCCTAGAGATGATCATAAATTCTTGAAGGTTTTTCCAATAGAGCAAATTCCAGCAGGTTCTATCAAACTGGACAGATAAATGTGTGGCTGGACAGACAAACATATGTGACTGTCCTACTTCCCAAGGACCAGCCAAGCTAAATACCCAGAGGCTCATCCCCAATGAGTCACTCACTGGATGATGAATTATTTAGCCATTGCAACCCATTGGACAAGAGAAATACAAAATGGTCCTCAGTCCTCTGATCCTTTTCCATTTCTTTAGAGTCAGTGGTGGAAAAGGATTACAGAGGAAACTAAGAATCAGACAGTTTCTAGATCATCTCTAAGCATTAATTTAACTATTAGTAGTCCAATGGAAGACCCAAAGCCTATCAGTAATAGCATTAGAAGGCACCGTGGTAGAGCAGAGTGTTGACTCTCAATGTCATGGGTCCAAATCCTGTCTCTGATATTTATTTCCTAGGTGGCCTTGGGCAAGTTAATTAACCTCCAAGGGCCTCAGTTTCCTCATCTGTAAAAAAGGAGGGGGCTGTACCAGATAGCCACTAAGTTCCCTTCAGCACTAGGTTTACGGTCTCTCTAAATGAAAAGGCATAAAAAAGCCAAAGTGAAATGGAAAGATAGCTCATAGGTTCTCTTTAAAGAGGGAATGAGCTGTTTGCTTCATAAACCCCAAAGCAACGATATCACTTTCTAGTGCGGTTCAGGATGTCTTTAAAAAGACCATTGTGAAGATAACTTCAGGTTATATATCTCTACCTGTTATGGTCTATGCAGTAGAAAAAGTCCTACAAGGATTGGGCAGGATCCTCAGATGTAATACAAACGTATATACTGACTTAAGAAAGTGTGCACCGGAAGAGGACGTCAAAGAACAGATTGGAAAATAATGATTTAAGATTAAAAAAGAAAGGAGGTCAAAATCAAAATTATCTGTCACTTAGAAAACTTATCAACTGTTTTTCATGAATACCTATGGAAGAAAAGAATCAGCCGCTTCTGGAGCTGGTGGACACAGAATATCACACACACACACGCCCATGAAATAGGGGGAAATGGCTAGTTACTGGTATGGGCATCACTTCAGAATAAGCTGACTTTGTGTAGTCGATGATTGACTCATTAGGACAAAGGTCCAAATATTAAGTTAAAGAACAGATAGTGATTAGAAAATACTACATTAATTAAAACAGCTCTAAGACAACTTACTTATTAGCAGTGAAAAACAGACAGTGGATAAAGGTAAGATTTTTTTATTGACTGATTATTATTCTTTCTAAGAGGATTTTATTCAGTGTTGAAAAATCCCCACAATGAGGAGTCCAGAAGAGGTCAGAAACCATCTCTGACAGCAAACCTTCTGTCTCACCAAGCAGCCTTGTAGTCAAAAGCAATATTTGTTTAGAGTATAGACACATCTATAAGACACTGTGGAGGAAGATCATTAAAACTTATGAGAAGCAAAAACAAGTCTGAAGAAAACTTGGTGTTAAGACCCACCTAAGTCAGCTTGTCCCAAGAGCATTGGAGATTGAAAATGGAATAGATTTGGTAACATCACTCTCCTGATCAGTTCTCACCATTTGCAAAGTTAGAATCACTGCATTTGTGCTATGTGAGGAAGTAGGAATGGTGTTTAGGAGAATAAAATTGAAAAGTGTGTTTGGACCAGACCAAGGACAAATAGAAAAGAACCATGTAGCCAGTGATACAATATGAATAGTGCTGAAAAATCCATTTTCTGGATCTCTCAAGAGACAGAAGATAACTATAAGAATGGAAAAAAGACAAGCTAAGAAAACCATATCAGCAACTACCAATCCACATGCCCAATTTCTTATTTCTGTACAAAGGCTTTATGAGAAGGGTCTACCCAGATATCAAAGGCATTCTTGTTGAAAATAAGAAGAAAATAGGCAAACTAAGACATTTCCTACAGCAGACGGTTCAGCCAACCAATAAATATGATGCCTACTGTGTGCCTGGAACCGTATTGACCAGGCTGAATACATAAAGATAAAGGTGAAATGGCTCCTTCCATCACTAAGATTCCTTTCTACTGTGGAAACTATAGCTTCAGTCTCCCAACAATGCAAAATCATGTGGGACTCCAATGGCAAGGATGAGACAAATCCATAATGGGTGTCAGTAGACTGAAGCCTGTTTCCAACAGTGACCTGTGTTTGCACACAGGAGTGTCATAAAGGAATGAAGGCTGGGGACCGAGGGCAGGTCTGTTACAGAGCACTCAACAACCATGGGTGGCCCTGGCCCCTACAGCTGTAAAGAGGCTGAGGAGAATTTACAGGATGGTATAGACAAAGCCCAAAAAGGCTGTGAAGGCATACGTGTTCTTCACGAGTGAAGGAACTATTCATATCAGAAATCTGTGAAAGTATTTTCAAATTAGCCAGTATCTTCTACAGCTTTTACAGGAAGTTTGAATTTTCTAGGTTTGCTGGCATTATAAGAAGGAAAGCATCGAGTAAATTTTCCACAATAGGTATTTATTTGAAGTTAATAAATAATTGAATCGTTCTGACTGGCAGTGGTCAAGATGAGCTTAGATGTGAAATAATAGGGTAAAAATCGCCCATAAATTTGGCCACGATGCATTGTGCAGAGTCGTGAAGAATTCCATTCTCGTATTATAACACTTCAGGCAGTCTACAGTAGTTTCTGAGTCCTGGAAGCTACTCAAGCATGGCTATGAATATGGTCCTACCCAGGAGAGTGCACAGGCTTCCTGACAAGAGTTGTGGAGATTCCTGACACTGACAGGCAAGGGTATATCCCCATCTCACTCATTCTGGTCCCACAGGAGTTCAAATCCAACCTCAGACACTTCTTTGCTGTGTGACCCTAGGCAAGTCACTTACCTACTGTTTGCCTCAGTTTCCTTATCTGTAAAATGAGGATAATAATAGTATCTACTCCCCAAGGTTATTTTGAGGATCAAATGAAGAACAATAAAACACCTAGCATGGTACCTGGCACATTGTAAGCACTGTATAAATGTTGGTTATTATCATTACTGTTATTATTTTTGTTACCCCTGGGAAGATGAGATGATGGTGACTTGTCTTTAAGAGCAATACATGGAAAAGTGGTTATGTTGGTCTGCAGTGGAAGGAGCATAAGCTTGTCATCCATCACTACAATGAAGTGGTTGCCTTTGGCATGCTCTGTCGTTGGGCTGGGGAAAGAAAGAGCAGAGCCGGACTGGTGTGCTCAGACTGCAAACTGCTGAGAACCACTGCCCCTGGAAACAACATTATATATCCTCACCTCTCCTGGAGGAAAACTCATATTTTGAATTTACAGCGAATTCAACCCAAAGAAGCCGGAGAGAAAGAATTTTGAAGACCAAACTCTCTAACCCAGAAGTGAATTAGAAGGAGTGAAAGAACGATCTCGTTGAAATAAACATTTTGGAACATGTCATCATTAAATACGTGTGTGTTTTTTAAAAATCAGTACATGCTACTGACACAAGTCATGAACAGATTAAGTCTTTTATGAATACAGCCCGCCGGAATGTGTTGGCGGCTACTTGGGAGATGGGCTGGTGTGTAGTTAAAAGAACACCCAGCTTGACCTCAGGACACTTGGCTCCACTACCCCTCACAAGTTTAACTTCCTCCCTCCATAAGGTTATTCCCAAGATCCTTTTCAACTTTCATGTTCTGTGGACTGAGATTGCTCCTGGTAGTGAAACTGAGCTGCTTAGTTGGCTTCATGCAGGAAGATGGTGC